GGAAAAAGAATTTAGCACGAGGATTGGTCAAAGTTGGCAAAAGGACTTGGTCAAGGTAGTGACTGAGAGTGAATTTCAGAGTTGAGACTTGGCCATAGGTTGCACTAGGTAAGTTGTCTTTGTCAGCAGGTAAGTGTAAAGATACAGGGCCCTTGAAATTGGGAATATTCAGGTTTTTGAAGAGTAAATGATTTTCCACTCTAATTTGACCATTGAAAAGTACTCTCCAGAGGTGCCATGGTACAAGTTTCTCCCATGTGGTGCCACTACCACTCTGATCTGATACAAGAATGCCCATTACCATGCGGGTGCGGTAAACAGATTCAAGGTTGGCCAGCTCAAAAAATTTCTTAGCAGCTTCTAAGACAAGTGGTTCATAAACTCAAACCCTCAGCATATCACCTTCCTTTTCCATCATTGCAAGCCCATGTGTCATAAGTTCCAGATCTTTCCTGTCCTTCATAATAATGGCTTTGCCTACAAGGAGTGTGGAAGCACTTGCCTCTTTAAAGACTTGCAGGACTTGAGGTTTGTAGCTTTGAAGTGAAGTGAGTTTACTAATGAATGAGCTTTGTTCAACATCACTTAGGAACTGATGTTGTACTTGTTCAAGAGCAGTATCAATACTAGCCCCTGTGATCAAATTCTCAATAAAGGTGGCAGTAAATCGATGTCAGCCATGGAGCCACTTAAATGAAGTCTTGAGATCACTGGCTTGAATTGCAGGTTGGTTTTTAGTAAAGTCAAGGACATGCTTGATAAAGAATGCTTCACTATCAATGACACCCAGGTTTGTAAATCGTATGCTCTTCTCATGCTTGCCAATTGCAGATTGAAGTAGTTCCTCAGAATGTAGAATAGAGAGAGCTGATCCACACACAAAGAGACGACATGAGTCAGAACCAACCAAAGCAGTTGTCACAGGAGAAAGAAGAGACCGGTATATTTTTGACTGTGGTTCACTCTCCCGTAAAAAAAAATCTTTCATCTTATTCAAAAGGACTTGGGCTTCATCAAGGATAACAATGAGATGATTCTGGCCTGTCAAGTTGTGACATTTGGGAAGAATTTTATCCTTGATATTGGTAAAGTTGCTGAGGACCTCATTACGGTATGTGGATTGCCATAAAGTCCAAGAGAGTCTCCTGAATACATCATTTTGTGGCCTGAGCTGGAACAGGAGCCATTCCTTTGGAGTCATAGTACAATTTGATAACAATCGATGGAGTATGAGTAGCTGAGCAAGCAAAACATATTTAGTAGCATGCTTGGCCATGATACTGGCTTCTTGGGTATGCTTGAGGCTCCCATAACGAAGAGTCATTGTTTCAAGGTCTTCTGTTATTGTTTGTAAGTCCCTGGTACTGGAGCCAAGGTAGGTACTAGGTGCAGCCACTATGTAGAAGCCATATTTTTGGCAGAGGGTTTCAAAGCAAAGGTGTGTTTTCCCAGAACCACTAACACCAAGTATTGTGGTCAATGCTGCATCATAGTTATCTGATAATAATTCTTGAGCTTTGGTCCAGCCATCTTTGCCACATTCAGGGAGATCATGTAAAAGCAATGAAGGTTTATCACCTAGCATAGGTACAGGCATACTAAATGAATATGGAAGAAAAGGAGAAAATTTTCTTGACTTCAAATCCTCAGCAATGGGATCCAAACTCTTTAGTATATTCTCTACTGCACCCAGACCTATATGAATAATTCAAAAAGCCCACAATGATTATGTAAGATTTCCTAATAAAAGAACTGCCACTAATGGGAAAAAAGGTATTATCAAGTTTACCAAAAGGTTTGTCCTTGTTGTATATGTAGAACGTTCCACCATTCATCAAGTCTCTTGGATCAGTTATGTCAGCTTGACAATTTGAAATACAAAGGTCACTTGAGGACATTCCAACAAGCTCTTTTGAGGGCATTCCGACAAGCTCTTGAATCAAACATCAAGTAGCAGACATATCCATTTTAACAAATGTTGAGGCTGGTATCTTCTTTCCAGGTGAGAACCTGTGTTGCTTGATCGTAACTAGTGCAGGGAGACAGGAGTCTGAATCTGAAAGAGACTGGGCACAATCTGATGAAGATATGGTAGTAAAGTAGATGGAATATGGGATGAGAACGATTGCAGTAAATAAGAATGGAGAGTTAACAAAAACAAGTCAAAGGAGTGTAGATATTATTATATGAAAGCACAGAAGGTAGGAGACCAGAATGAACAGTAAGAGGTAAGAGGGTCAATGTCTCAACTGTATTTTACATCTCCCTGAGCAGGACTTTTGGTAAAGTACACACGGGGAGTGCTCTTTCGTCTTCCCTGAGAGCAAGATGCACAACTCTCGAATCCAACATACGGTGATATAATGCTCTATCTTGTACTCCTCCAAATGCGCGTGTTGTAATGCATTCGAACTATTCTCCCCACCATTGCTCCCACTCTGCTCTATGTTCCATTCGAACTATTCTCCCTCCGTTGCTCTTACTCTACTTAACCCAAACGTATCGTATCTTGCTTATTTGCCTTTCAAACGAGTTTACGTATAACCTAACCTTTGCTACGACTCTGCTATATGTCCCAACCCCAACGCATGTCGTAATACATTTCAACTATCCTCCCAACAAACGTGTATTCATTGCTTACCTTGTTTCGATGCCATATATGCAGCGTAAGCATCATCTTCGGTAGCCTCAGGATGGTCTTTCGTATATTGTATGGCAAATTTGGTATATTCGCGGTCCATGTTGTCAGTGTTATGAGAAGAAAGAACGTGTAAGGTGCGCGTTTATATCTTTCTGCGCTACGCACCACGTTGTGGAACAATTGATGCTTTTTTTAGAATGCTTCTAATAGTACTGTAATTCTTTGGTTCCATAGTGGATTTGATGTAAAATATATTATTTTTATATAGAGGTAGTCCTATATTAATCACGTTATAGTAATAGTTTATATTCATCACATTCTGGTATGATAAAATGAACATTAAAATTTTATCAAAACATCATCAGTCTCAATTTTACAGCCACATCATAATCAGCCTCTCATTTATGGGCCTTCTCGATAGCTTTGATGCAAAGTAGGGGCATCAGAGAGCAATATGTGATAAAATTCATAAGTAGCATACGCGCATAAATAACGCCTTCTGTGTGAGACTGTTATACTGATGATGTTATCTATCAGCCGGAAAAAAACTTATTGCCTTCATGGTAACAGAAGTAATAAAATTTAAACAAGAATTTGATGCAATATTAATTGATATAGAATTAGCATTTCTGTTTGATTTGATGTCAATGATTAAGTACACGTTTACTTCGGCCAAAAACAATAGCTTATTGGACAGACATATTTATGACGAGAGCGAGTATATTTTGCGATCTACGTTCAATCGACCGCTTAGTATCCTATAGCAACATCCTAACTATTTATCTACACCCTTTCGACCTCAAACTCCTATTGAAATTCAAGTTGGCATTGTGATTCAACGATTGGCAAATCCTCTAGGATATCGCCAGCTAGAACAAATTTCGGTGATTAGCCACATATTTTACTAAACGATTTATTGAAGCCATTCTGGACACCCTCCAATATTATTATCATCATTTGTATCAATCAAACCCGCTTACGTTGTGGGTGTTTGTATAATAAAGGATCCAAGGTTTTTTTGCTTCTTAGGCATTGTAATGAATATGAAAAATTTTTTTCTTGACTCAAGTTAATAAATAATGTATGTTCTACCCCATATGCTGTTCTCGTCACATTGATCTGGCAAAATTTGAATTATGTTTATATGAATAATAAACAATTTCCAATTTAGAAATGCCCCCACCAAATAATTCCCATATTTATCATTGATTTTCAAATTTGATCGAGGCATCAAGCTGTTGGGAAAGCCCATAGTCTATTTTGATCTAACCGCACGATAAGTTGCATTGAAAATTATAAGTACAAGCTTTAGACTGTGAATATGATCAAACCGCCTATGTTGATTTGCATTGAAATTATTGGTGTAATTTTTAACATTACGGCTAGGCAGTAAATATTAATATAGTCTATTTGATCTAACCGTATAATGATTATAACTAATATAAAATGAAAACTAAAACTTTATGACATTTGAACCCGTTATTTAACATATTTCGATGGTTGAAAGATTTGCTTCTATACTAACGATGATAAAAACATCAACCAAGTTATCATACGGATTAGATTGTCATATGCGGAGGGATAAAATATATATAGTTAGTAGCTTAGAAATCGCCAACATATGATATCTTACGTTCTTATCTGTAATGATACATTAGACAAAAGTCTCCGGACAGTTTTGTATAATAATTGGGCATAAAATTTTAGTTTAAGTCTGATGTATCAATATCATGTTTATCAAAATTTAGTTGAACATCCCTCGCTCGTAATGCAAGCTTGCAGACTTTTTGACATACTCTTACAATATGTAGATGTGCACATTTTTAATATTGGTTTGATTTGTCCAAGTAGTTAGGGTAAGACAGGCAACATATTAATGTTGTCTAGATTGTGTCACTTAGCGTAGATTAAAGAATTTGAAAAACTTCACAAGTTTTTCGAATGTTAAGACTAATCCCCAACACATATTTTCATTTTGCTCAAATTCAGAGAGTTCTAATGTAGCATTATTTTGCGTCAGTTAATTTTAAGCATCTTTTAGAAATATAATTGGGCGAACGAAATAACTCTTGTTGTGGTAGACAATTTTTGGATTTTGTAAGCAATGTTCTGCGGTGCGTGTCACAAAAGTTTCATGGCCAATTATTATGTAAATTTTCGAGAAAATAACTGTCCGGAGACTTTTGTCTACCTTCTGTATAATAACTTTCCGATACTTATTTATTTGCGCATATTAATTCTATTACCTGGTAATCGTCCGATGGGGCCGGAACGGTGTTATAGTTGATACATTTATATTTATACCCCAACCTGTAGCTGCCAGTCTGATCCCGATAATAATATAAATGTTAAAAAGTAATTGAGAGGATTAATGTCTACAGCACAGAGCATAAGGTATTAGTAGAAAACCCTAATTAAAAGTCACTACCAAGGCTCAATTAAAGCGTATTTTTATTACATACTTCTTGTGTTATAGCTCAATTTTATCTTAGCGCACTACCATTCGAGGTTAGCATTGGGTTTAGCATTTTTTTTATTGCAGAATTAATGACGTTGGGCTTTCCATTGTCAATCCCACGTGCAACAGTACTATCAACTAATCATTATTTGTAATATGTACAGTACATTGTCTTAGTATTAAACTTGATTTTAATACATTTAACAATATAAAATGGTAAGAAATTTGGTTTATTTACTCAAAAAAAAGTTAGATAAAGTGTAATCTCAAATATTGTATCTCATATAAAAAGTTAAAATATATAATGTATAAATCAAGCTCCCTATTTTCATCACTTGGACAGACAGATAAAAATTAATTCAATAATGCTTCACTCAAAGCTGCTCTTCCTTTATCACTAATTTGATTTGCAGTAAGGTTTAAAGAAGTTAGAGAGAAATTTAATTCCAAAATTCCGCAAAAGCTGTTGCTCCTGTATCGCCAATCCGATTATATCGAAGATTCAAAACAGTTAGGGAGGAATTTAATTGCAAAGCTCTTGCTAATGCTGTAGCTCCTGCATCTCCAATTTGATTTGCGGTGAGATCCAAAGATGCCAGAGAAGAAATTGATGCTATTGCTTCTGCCAAAGCTGTTGCTCCTGTATCTCCGATATGATTGTGTTGAAGATCAAAAAAAGTCAGTGAGGAATCTAATTGTAAAGCTCTTGCCAAAACTGTTGCTCCCGTATCCGTAACTTGGCTATACTGAAGATCCAAGGAAGTAAAGGAGGAGAAATTGAATTCAAAAGCTGCGGCCAAAGTTGTTTCTCCTGTCGATGATTTAGATTTAGCAAAATCAACTAACGCACTATCGTACTTTTCGAGACAGAGAAGTACTCTTCCTCTAATTTTTAGAATTATATTGTTTGGCTCAACCTCTAATGACTTATCCAGATCGACTAATGCACCTATCATATTCGCCAAGGGTATAGTGTATGCTACCCTTTATTCTTAGTGCAGTTATATCGTCTGGCGCGATGTCTGCGTTATTTATGGGATATCAGACATTCAAACCTAATCTGGTTAGTACGGTTACTTACGCCGATTCAGAAAAGTAACATTATTTTTTTTTATCGTATAGTAAATTTCTGCCTTCATCATTCGATCCAAAATCTAACCCGATCTGTTGTTGATGTGTTTTCATTCGTTGTATGTTCATATCATCTTTTTCCATAAGTAATTTCGCCACTAACCTTCAATTACCTTTTCTAGTAATTTTTGTGAGATCATATACGACCGTTTTTATAATACCGTTATGCATACTGCATAACGGCATTTATAGGAAAAAAAAAGATTGTCGATACCGCAGCAATTCCCATTATTTGGATGTACCAAAAATTATCAAATACTTTTGTCGATCTTATAATCACACTAAAAAGTTTAGTTTTCGGACACAAAAAATAACGAATAGTGAATAGTGAACAGTGAATTATGGAATAACGAAATAGTGAAAAGCAAATAATGAATAATGACTAATGAACTGGATAGTGAATGGCAAATAGTGAATAGTGAATAGCCGAATAGTGTACTGCGTTGTAGTAAATAACAAACGGGGATGGTAAATAGAGAATAAAAAATAGTGAATAGTAATAACGTAACCTGAAGGAGCAAAACGTGAGCACCTCATACTCGAAATGGAATATCACATGTTTCTATCGCCATCATTTACTGCATGAGCTTACCTTTTTTCACATAGTTTTGATATTCATTCGCTCTTCACGCTCTTCATTAACGTAAAGTACATTTTTGTCGTATCTCCTGCTGCAGACTCATGCACGTACT